TAATTAAATATTAATAATAAACGACCTCCCCTTCCTATCAACTTCGAATCTTCGATCACTCACATCACCTATCTCTTCACCTATTATACTAAAACGATAAAGCTCTCCTCTACTTACTTACGATAGCGAGACTAATTCAAATATCTTCTTATTAAATAAGAATAAAAATAGTAAGAAGTCTAAGTTTATTAATATCGCTAAGATTAATATAGCGGTCTACTACTAACTAGCCCGTAAAAAAGATAATAAACTATTTATATTAATAGTGAATAAGATCTATAATAACTCGCTAATATTATATATACCTCTTATTATCTAAATACCTCGCGATTCTTATATATTAATTAATAAACTCTATTTCTATAACTTAGAAAAGAAATATAAAAGATATTACGATTTCAATTACTCTATTTAAATTAATAGTATCGACGAGATTAGTTCTAAAGAGGTAAAATATAAACTACTTATAAAGTATTACGACTATCTCGATATTTTCGATAAAGCTAAGGCGAATATACTTTCCCTATATCGTTCTTATAACTATAAGCTAGAATTTAACGATAGCTTCGATAAAACGAAACTTTCGAAAAGTAGAATCTATTTAATATCGGGATATAAACTAAAATAGATAAAGAAGTATCTAGATGAATATTTAAAGAAGGGATTCATAACACTAAGTCATATATTATTCGCCTTACCTATCCTATTCGCGGAAAAGTCGAATAGAGAATTATATTTTTATATAAACTATCGAAAGCTAAACGCTATTATTAAAAGAAATTAATATCTAATTTCATTAATAGATAAGATTTTAATAAGAATTTAGAAATATAAATACCTTACTCAATTAGATATTATAGTCATATTTAATAAACTACGTATATACCTCAATAGCGAGGATTTTACTACTTTTATTACCTCTCTTAAAGTATATAAATATTAGATCCTCCTCTTCGATTTAACTAACGATCTAGTTATATATTAATAATATATAAATAATATTCTATTCGAGTATCTAAACGATTTCTACTAGATCTACCTCGATAATATACTCATCTATAATAAGATAAAAAAGAAATACATCTAATACGTTAGATAAATTCTCTAGAAATTAAAAGATATCGGCCTTTAGATGAATATTCTTAAATACGAATTCCACGTTTAGAAAACTAAATTTTTAGGCTTATTAATATCTATAGACGGGTTATAAATAAACTCTATTAAAATCTAGACTATTATCGAGTAAATTACACCTATTAATCTTAAAGAGGTATAAGCCTTTATCGAATTTTATAATTTTTATCGACGGTTTATTAGAGACTTTTCTAAAATAGTTAAATTTATAATAAAACTCATCGTAAAAGAGATTATATTTAATTAATCCCTAGTATATCAAGAGATCTTTTATTTTCTAAAAGTCGCTGTTACGAAAGTCTTAATTCTATATTATTTCGATAGAATAAAAAACGTCGTTCTAAAGATTAACTCTTTCGATTACGTTAATAAAGATATTCTTTTCTAATATAATAATAAGAGAGTACTTTACTTAATAGTCTTCTATAGTAAAAATCTTACTCTAGTCGAGTATAACTATTAGATCTACGATAAGAAGTTACTAATTATTATTCGCTATCTTAAATACTAACGTTCTAAACTAAAATATATTAATATTTCTATTAAGATCTTTACGGACTATAAAGACTTAATATATTTCGTTAAAGAAAGAGACCTTAGCCGTTATTAGGCTCGCTATTTAAATATACTATCCGAATTTAATATAAAGATTATCTATCGATTAGAATCTTAGAACGTTAAGGCGAATATACTTATACGAATAATTGAATATAAATTAATCGATCTCGGAAACGAATAATTACGCTAATAGTATCAAATAATTCTTATCTCTAATCGATTAAAATTAAACGACGAATATATCGACGTATATATAATCGATAACTCTATTTATTATAAAGTAGTAGAGGCTAATAAGAAAGACGAATATTATACGAAAATTCATAAGGCTATCGCCGAAAATAAGAATAAGTTTCGAGGAATTACTCTTAGTAAATACTTTATATAAGACGAGATACTTTATTATAAAGATCGTTTATAAGTATTTAATAATATATATATCGATATTATTTAAGAGGTATACGATTAACTATTCTACGATTATTTCGAGATAGTATATATCTATAAACTACTTAAAAGAAAATACTATTAACGAGATATAAGGGCTATCGTAGTTATCTACGTTAAAAATTACTATATCTATTAGAGAGCTAAGACGTCTTATAATCGAGAGTATAGCTTACTATAGTCTCTATTAATCTCATAGAAACGATAATAAGATATATTAATTAACTTCGTTATAGGCTTATCTATATTCAATAACTATAACGCTATTTAAATAGCGATCGATTAGTTTATCAAAGAACGTTACTACGTAATCTATTCTAATATCAATAAAGATACTACCGCTAAAAAGATAGTTAACTTACTACTTAAGAAAGTATTTCGCTTATACGATCTATCGACCTTAATAATATCGAATTAAGGCTCTTAATTTATAGCTATCATATAAAAGTCTTTTTATAAAAGACTAGATATTATAGCTAAGCTATTAATAGCCTTTTATTCTAAAATCGATAAATAAATTAAATAAGCGAATTAGAATATAAAGCGTTATCTTTAAATATATTATAATTATATATAAGACGACTAGATAAAGTAGTTATCTATTATCGAGTTCGTCGATAATAATACTATCTTATCGACTACTAATATCTCATCTTTCCTTATAAATAAGAGATTTTATTCTCGAATAACTTTTAGCTCGAATATTATCGATTATAAGATTATACGTAAACGTTTTAATACTACTTAAGTTAAGAATATTATAAATTATATAAAATAAATTCTTAAATATATTCGAAGTAATATAAACCGCGTTTAGAAGATTATAATTATATAAGCTAATAAGTATTAATAAAAGATTACTTTTTAAATAAGTAATAAGATCTTTCTAAGTAGTAAGAATATTATCTTTAATCGCTTTTCTTATAAACTAGACTATAAGAGACTTAATTTATTCGAGATTATAGATCTTATAGAAATCTTATATCATCTAAAACTTTCGCTAACTATAAGAATCTATAACGTCTTTCACTCTAATCTCTTAAGTCTTATAATAAATAATTTCTTACTAAGGTAAATAAATCTTTTATCGAAGTATATTACTATTAATAGTTAAATTAAATAGATTATTAAAGAAATACTTAGCTTTAAATTAATCTATAGTCGTCTTAAATATAAAGTTAAATAAAAAGGCCTCGATAATAACTTTAATTAATATAATATAAATAGCGGTAAATTCGAAAATTGCTAGAATCTAATAAACGACTTTCATAAGCGATATCTCGAAGAGTCTTATCTATAAAGGAACTAGGGCGACGAACCTTAAACAGCGATAGCGTTCTCGGGTCGAAACTATCTCGGATACCTCATTTTCAATCGAATTAAAATCATTCGATATCTTTATAATAGCCTCATTTTTTTTTTTTCAAAATCGAGAATTAATTTCTTAGATCTATATTAATTAGAAATTATCTTATATATAATCTTTCGCGTAGACCCTCGTTATTAATATAACTCTAAAAATCTTTTAAAGCTATACTAGTATATATATAGATTACATTATCGCTATTACGAAATATAATTAATATTAGCTAAATAATATACTATAGAGAAAACTATATTAAAGTTATTTAATATTAAATTAGAGTTTTTAACGTCTATAACTCGATTTAATTCGAGAGCTCTTAACTAATTACGTCGTATTATTTCATAGATATTCTATATACTTAAATACGAATTCGAAAATTATTATTATTTACCCCTACGCCTATAAGCATAGTTTTCGCTATATTACATCGATTTTCTTCTAGCTAGACCCTCTATATACGTATATATCTTAACTAGCGACATCGCTATAGCGTAAATATAAAAAGCTACTATTATTCTTAATACCTCTAACGAAGAAAGATACAATACTGGAATTCCCGAATATAGTTATTTCTTTACTACTTTTATTATTTTTCAGATGTTAAGCGTATATATATACTCATTTTTCTATCTTTTTACTTACTAATTATAAAATATAATTTAACGAAGAAGAAAAGTAGTATTATAAGCGTATTCTTAACACACCTCTTAGCCCTATAGCTAGCGGGCCTTGGCGAAGGTATTCTCTATTATATTATATCTTCTTTTCATCTATATAGTTTAATATCTTAGTTATCTTATTAAATATATCTATATTAATATTATATCTATATCGATTCTAATATATATAGTAAATATAGAGTAAGATATAATTACTTTTATAGTATTACTAAATTATATAAGAGCTTTAAACTAATCTAAAGAAGATATACTTTAATAAGATTTTAATAATAAGACTATAAAATTCGTAGAATTATTATTAAGAGAAATTCTTAAGAAGTTTAAGGTGTTAAGATAATAGTAATAAATTAATTCTTTAAAGAGATTTTTAATACTCGCTAAAATAATAATATTATAATTTACTTACTTTTATAGTAATAAGAGAGTCTTAATAAATAATAATAATAATTAAGAAATCGAGTTAAGTAATAATAACTTCTTAAGATATTTATTAAAGATTTCTTAAGTCTCGAGAAGTAGTTTAATAGATAAAAAAGGCTTTCTAAACTAAATAACTTAAGAAAATACTTTTTATAATAAGATTTTCAATAAAGAATTTAGCGGAAAAATAAATAATAATAAATTATAGTCGAATAGGTCTAATAAAGATTCTAAAGATACGTAAGAATAATAATAAAGAAGATTCTACTTTAGGGCTATAAAAAGATCTAGATAAAACCTTTAAAGATTATAAATGATTAGGCTCGTGTGGGTAGAAGAGGATATAGATTCTATGGAAGCCTACGGCAGTAGGATCTTTATCCCACCAGGCCAATCTATACTATATATAAACTAGCTGCAAAAGCCTGCAAGGAAGCACCTTCCGACTGGCGTTCTGTGATTCCCACCCAAACTAGCTGTGAAACATCGTTGCCTCTGCAGGCTTGGCCAGTCGATAGAACGTCGTCGGAATCCCAATCAATGCCTGTATCTGATCTCAAGGGTTGAGGCTTGATTGCTTGTCGCAGAAGGTCCGAGTGGTATAAATCGCAGTCGCTTAGAAACATGCTCATGCCTTGCACAGAAATTTGAGGGGCCTCCAATATGTAAAGCGCCTTGAGATCTGCAGCATCATGAAGTACCAATTTCAAATCTTCTTCTGTGAGATCGGGCCTGTTTGACATGCACAAGGTAATCATCTTGCCATGCTTTCGGAGTCTCGAGACCACGAGCGACAGATCCTCCGCAGAGAAAGCTTTGAAAGGGCTTAGATCTACATCGTCATGGTCTTCCAAGGCTCTGCACAGAAGATTCAGTAGATGAGGAGACGGTTCCAGAGCATTCGCTTGCTCATAAAGCCTGTCTTTTAACCTCGGCAGAAAGTCTGTCAGAAGCTCTGCCTCTGATAACAAGCCAGCGTCTTCGTCTGGTGCATCCAGAAGTGCTTTAAGCACAGTGGCCATAGCTCCATCACGTAGGGTCTTCGCGGTGCCAGGCTTCTCAAGCTCTGGAACAGCCACCTCATCTCCGCCTCCCTGGCCGAATTCCGGCTCTTCCCATTCTCCCTCGGGCCACGTATCCTGAAGTGTAGCCACTGGAATAGTATGCCACCGATTGAATTCGTCGAGCAATGGAGGGAGATCCTCTGCACTTTGTGGGTCGCTGAGATCATAGTATGCCTCAAGGTAGATACGAGCGGTAAGTGGCGCCATGAGTTGGACCGATCGCTCACTTTCCATGCCATAGAAGTCAACGAAGCAGTAGCGAACATTGCTTGGTTCAGTGATATCGAAGACAGTAATCCCTAAGAAGTATAAGATCAGTCATTATCATGCCTTTTAGTCAACTTATGGACGGGGTTGGTTGCCCGCATGTACGCATCAAGACATTAAGTGTTCGGCGTGACTGCCCCACACATATCTCATCTCGGTCGGGTTTCTTACCATTGTTGTTGTCGCCTTCGTCGTATGCCATATAGAAATTCTCAACGAGTACAGGATGGTAATAGCCGTCATCTGGACCAAATGATGCACCAGTGATAAGGCAAGTGGCAATGAATGGGAATGGGACGTGAACGTTCTTCTCGTGAAATCCGTCCTCTGGAGGGGTCCAGAAGTCGTCATCTTGACGTTGAGCGGCGATGAGTTCCTGTTCAAGTGGGATCCGATTTGCCGGATCCGCGAAAATTTGGAGAGTTCCAAGGCATCGTCTCAACGCGGTGTGCCCATAGAGCCATTGGTGATGGATGGCACATAGGGTGCGGTAACGGGCATTTATGCTTGCAATGACGAACAGCTGATGGCGTTGACCCATTGTGGTCAGGTGGTTTGGGAATGCAGTCGATGAGATGGGTGAGAATGTGAGGGAGTGATAGAGACAGTGAGTCGAAGTGTCAGTGTTGAAGGAGTGATGGATGGAGGTGGTAGTAGGAGTGAGTCGAAGTGTCAATTTGAAGGGGAGATGGGGAGTGGTGGAAGTGAATGAGTGAAGCAAGGTAAGACGGTGATGCACCTATTTAACCTCAGCCGTGCAACATTAGGGCTGTTTTTTTTTTTTTTTTGTTGTTGTTGTTGTTGTTGCCAAAACATCATCATATTCATCTCTGACTTTTCTCTTCAGTTGCAGGATCAGGTATTCATTGGGTATACTCTACGAGTACTAATCAGATGCCAGTAATCTTACAGCCGTACGGTTTCTACTTCTTGAAAATCATTATGTAGAGATCATGCCAAAAGACCCATCCTTTGACCTTGAAGCTATTCAGGGAGCTCCGGGACCTTGGTCTTAGACTATGAGGTGAATAAAGGGTCGAAACGCGAGCATCGCGATTTAATCTTTAATTTTAAGTGGATTTCGAAATGGAATTTGGCAAATCGCGCCCCCTCCGCTTTGCCCAAAAATCCAAAAATCCAAAAGAATCATGTTTTTCTTATCTAAAATTATGAATATTAATTATCAAGTAGTCTTTTCTATATAAAATCTAGTTTCTTTAACAAGTTCTATTAGTTTTTTTGTCAAATTTTTTCAAATTAAATTTTTATCTTTATTAAGTAAAGTGACGAAGTGAACGTACTCTTCTATACAAAATCAAGATTATCAAAAATATTCTCTTTAAATTAATCTGAAAAAAAAGTAATAAAATTAATAAATCAGTATAACTTTAATATAAACGAGATTAATAAATAATAAAAATTTGAATCTAGATAAGAAAAATATGGCTTTTCCTAATTTTTTTGGATATTTTCGGGATTTTTCTAGCAATCTTATCAATTTGTAATCGCTTTGCAGGGGTTCGCGACGCGTGTCCCTGAGTCTCTTTACGCGTCTCTCTCAGAATCAAGTGCTGTCAAAAGGTTCAAGTGCACTTGCATCATCTCACGCACAAGACACGCTGCTCAAGATTCACGAGGAGAACTATGGCCGCAGTTACTCAACAACGGCCTCGTGCCCGCCCAGCGCGTAAGTGGGAAGAATGATCAGTCTTACCCATATTCTGAGTACCTCATACAGATCCCTCCGGCCCTACCTTCTTGACATATACCCCGAATGGCAAGCAATTGGTCACAGCCGGATCGAACAACGTGGTTAGAGTCTACGCAACAGGCTCGGATGGGGAACCCACGAATCTGGACGATTGTCAGGAGAACAATACCGCAATTGCTGCTACTGTACGCTTGGCCGCGAAAACCAGCATGGACGACTGGGCTAATGAGGAGTAGAACGACTTCTTCCTCACCGGTTCCGAAGATGGTACCGTCTGCATGTACTCGCTGGATACGTACACCTATGAGAAGATGCTCACGCGATGTACCCTACCCATACGAGACATTGCGCTGTCACCAGATGGGCAATGGGCTGCTGTGGCTAGCGAGTGAGTCCGACATATTCTGGGTCAAGAGCCGATTCACTGACTTCATGCAGCGAGCTAACCGTGAAGGTCGTCAATATCGCCGATACTTACACGGTGCTCTATCTACGCGACCTGCCCAGGCCCGCCAAACATCTATCATTCGATCCCAGCGGCTCGTACATCGCTGCGTCCTGCGCCGACGGCATTGTCTATGTTTACAAGCTCAGCACTGAAGAGCCGGACTTGGTCAGAAAGGTTGATGGGTTGATCCGCAGCCTCGATGTCGAGTCTGAGTCGAGTTCGCGAGCCGTATGGCATCCGGACGGGCGAGCGTTTGCTGCACCAACAGCAACGAGAGATATTCAAGTGGTGTCAAGTGGAGATGGGGAGCGCCAAAGGGCATTTTCTGGAGGTCACATGGGAGACGTAACAGCACTCGTTTGGTCGCCAAATGGGGCTCTGCTCATCACCTCAGCGTCGGACAGGAAGATCCTGTTGTGGGATACCAAGACACAAAAGATTCTAGCCAGGTGATCATGATCCAGACAGCCAGCCAGCAAGCCTCGTGCTAACATTGGTGCAGATACGATTACCCAAGCGTAATCAACATGGCATGGCATCCAACTCAGAACATCGTTTCCTTCGTCACATCGGATGGTGAATTGTATATCTATGAGGGTTTCTTGCAGCCAGACACCTTTACCCTGCTTCAAAAGCCCATGCAATCGTCGCCATTCATCAGGGATCCACTTGCAGAAACATCGGGAAACGCTAGCAAAGTCCTCCCCAACGGCGTCAAAGATAAACCAGATGCCCGCGCTAAGCGGAGAGGAACTCCAGATTCCCTTGATGATATTCTTGGTCCAGAGCTGGGAGATGAAGATGACTTCGTCAGCGATGATGATGGGGCGGGCTATCTGGATGGTGTCAACGGATTTGGAAAACGAAGTAACGGCCATCTGGATTCGATCGATGGGATCGATAACAAAAGAAGAGCGACTATTCATGCGTGGCAGCCAAGACTCCATCAATCCTTTCAACCTGGAAGTACGCCCTGGCGAGGCAACCGGAAATATCTATGTGAGACCCGAGCTTGACAGACACTGGCAAGGCTAATCGTCATCCAGCCCTGAATCTGACCGGCTTTGTTTGGACTGTTGATCAAGATACCCACCATACTGTGACCGTAGAATTTTATGATCATGAATTCCACCGTGACTTTCATTTCACAGATCCATATCTATATGACAAAGCTTGCTTGAGTATGCTCTTGTGTCACTCGACAGCGAGGAAATAGGCTGACAGGTCCCAGATGAGAATGGAACTCTGTTTTCCTGCCCTCCGGCGAATGGCAATCCAGCAATGGTATTTTACCGTCCCCATGAGACCTGGACAACACGAGCAGATTGGCGTACTCAGCTGCCAGCCGGAGAAGACGTGACCTGTAAGCAGGTCCTTATCCTCGCGTCGGTCCAAGTATTGACAAATGATAGCGATATCCCTGAGCGACTCGTACATTGTCGTCACAACCTCAACTAACTACGTCCGTGTCTTCACATTGTACGGCACACCGTTCAGAGTCTACCGGCAAAAGTCATCTCCGACGGTCACATGCGCTTCATGGCGGGATTACATTCTTACGATGGGCAATGGGACTGTTGGTGGCGACGGATCAACAAAGCTTTTGTACAACATCGAGAACGTCAAACGGGATGAAGTCTGCCAAAGCGAAGACATTGTAGCTTTGACCGAAGGTGCTCAAGTCAAGAGCGTCTTCTTTTCGGATAACGGTGATCCCTGTGTCTACGACTCTACCGGCATTCTGCTAATCCTACAACACTGGCGGTCCCCCGGTCAGGCAAGATGGGTACCCGTATTGGACACAAAGCAGCTGGAACGTCTTGCTAGCGGGAGAAAGGAAGAGACCTATTGGCCTGTTGCTGTTGCGCAAGAGAAGTTCCATTGCATCATTCTCAAAGGAGGAGATCAGTATCCGTACTTCCCAAAACCGTTGCTTAGCGAGTTCGACTTCAAAATACCCTGCTCCAACCCAACGCTACCAAAGGATTCAGAAGACTCGGCTGTCCTGGAGGGCCCCAAGCTCGAGGAATCCTTCGTTCGCAGCTCACTGATGCTAAGTCTGCTCGAAGACCTCATATCGTCGACAAATGCCACACACAGCCAACGAACCGAGCTAAGCAGACGAGAAATCGACGTAAACAAGTCATTGCTGCAGCTGCTGAATGTCGAATGCAGGGAAGGCGAAGACAGAGGCATGAAAGCCCTAGAGATTGTAGGCTTGATGAGAGACCCAAGCGGGAAAATGGTAGAGGCTGCGGGCAAAGTGGCGGGCCGGTATGGAAGGACGGTACTGCAAGAGAAGATCGGAGAACTGGCGGAGAAGAGGCTGTTGGGTATAGAAGACGAGGAGTAGTCGTAGTATTCCCAAGACCAGAATATTCAAGCGAACAGCATCCCTCATTCCGAATCCCTAGACCGACCCCCTCCCCTGCACCCATCCTCACCATCCTCCCCAACTCCCACCTCACTCCCCCTCCCCCCTCTTCCTCCCCCACCCCCCTCACCAAATCCGCCCAATCCCCCCCAAACGCCCCCCAACCTTCCACCTCCTCGCCTCCCACACATCCTCACTACTCCCCTTCTCCCCCCCCCATACTTCTCCCTCTCCCTCCCCGCCGCCCACGCCCGCACCCTCTCCCTCCGCCGCTCCTCCCCCGCGACCCCGCGGTTCGTCCGGACGCAGAACCAGAAGTCGGCCCAGTGGTCGCCGCAGCCGCGCAGGCTGCCGTAGCGGTACACGTGGGCGAATTGGCCGCCGAAGGACTGGCAGTGGAAGGCCGCGTCGAAGGCGGAGCGGCAGGAGAGGGTGGTGGGGAGGGTTGTTGCGGGGGTTATGGGGGGGGGGAGGGATGTCGGGTCGGGGGTGCTGGCGGGTGGGTGGTCGGGGAGGCGTGGGTGGGTGGTGGTGGTTGGGTCGGGGGGGCTTGCGGGTGGTTGGTCGGGGAGGGTGGGTGGGTCGGCGGTGGTGGTGATTGGGTTGGGGGGAGGTGGGTCTTTGGTGGTGTTCCATAGCCAGCCCATTGTTGGGGATTTTGGACGGTTGTGCGTAGTTAGTTGTAAGTGGTTTTAATTAGGTGGTTGACTACTTTGGGAGTGGGCTCGACTGAGGGAGAGCCGCTTTAGCGCGGGAGCTAATCACGTGATGGGATACCCGAGCAGACACGGTTGGGAAGCGGTGCGCCGGGCCCCCGCTCTGACTGGATTCATCTACCCCGATCCCCCTGCGGTAGTCTTTTACCTTGAGGCTTGCGGTACATCTTTTTGTTGCGGTGCTTCTTTACTCTGCGGTACTGACCTTGCGATGCTAACATTTCTTGCGTTAGACCTTGCCCTGCGGTAACTATCTACTTCGCAGTGCTACTTTCTCGGTAGCGACCACCGACTGTGATGTATCAGAGACCCCAGTACCATGGATTACGCGTTCAGAATCTGTTCCACCCTTGTCTACACATGTCAATCTACGTGGTTAGATATTTGTCTGTGTTCAAATTCTTATGTCGAACTCTTGCAGCAACCGCCGAACGTTCCTAAACTCGTTCTTACTATGAAAGGTACTTACTAAGTGAGTAGCATCACTGGTGTATTTTTTATCACAACATCCAATCATGTCTTCATCTGTTAGCGCAGAGTCTGAGAGTCTATCGAAGAACGATCTATCCTGTGTTTCTTTGCAACCCAACAACTTTTCAAAATCGTTTGACGACAAAAATTTCTACAACATCTATTAGATCTGCTTAAAAAGCAGAACTGCCGATTCGAAAATTTGATTGTAGGTTCTTCATTGTTGAATCGTGGTCTTGAGAATGCATTTCTTGATGTTCGGCCAGCAGCCCCTGAATATATTACCTGCTAGTTTATGGGTACTAGACACGCTCTCAAAAGCTGATGTCGATACAATTTCTTTGGGCCTAGTCCGTAAACCAACACCTGAACACATTCTATCAACGACATAACTCTCTTGATACAGTTGCCGAAGTGAATGCAACCTGGCTTCGCAAGTTTCGCTGGCGAATCAACACTTCATCCATTTTACCCGCGACATCCATAACCCTGAAATCATTAGCTACACAGCCATCTCAAGGATACCGCTTGGTAGTCTGACCCAGATTTTCAACTTTCCGCATACCACAATTGTCTTCGCATGGCCATTGATCACTGCCACTTTCAACAACGTGCCCACACAACATCTTTGTGTTGCTCATCAATGCTTTACACATTCTGCACTGCACTGACGGCATGAGCTATTGGAGCTAAGTGGTTACAGGAATCAGGGAGCTAACGTGGAAATTTTTATCGCCTGTAGACTTTGGAAATGGTGTTGATATCTCGGTTTGCCGGTCAGAGAAAGTCTTGGGCCTACATATTACTTATAGACTCAGCTTTATTGGATCCTGAACACTGATGCCGGAGTGAGTCACACACGATAGCCTCGAGAAAGCAGACTGGCAGAAGGGGGTCCGGCGATCCGCCTAGCAAGTTGCCTAATTTTTCCCCACTGGTGTCACCAATCAAAACATATGCGGGACTTGGCGTTGGAGGCTGTCGTGTCCGAAAGATCACGTAGCACGGGGACGGCAATGTTTAATTTCCCACAATTCCTCTCCTTGCATTTCTCTATTGATGTGCAGAGAATAAGCATCCCCCTATCAACAAGAGACGTCTCACATCTTCCGATGACAAAGCCACTGTGGAGTCATGACTCTCACTCCTTTTAAGCCGAGGCTTATAGCTTGGGGTGCATCTGGAGTAGTCTACAAGGTCTCAGACCGCATTGCCGTGAAGAGACGAGTCGTCGATTGTGACGAAGGGTTTGACTTCGAGAATGAGATTCGCGTCTACGATCTTCTCGAGAGCAACCCCAATGTCCTTGTTTTGTTCGAGTTTTTACCGGAGTTCGGATTTCAACTTCTTGGAGTTTATCGGCGAACTCCACAGTGACCTCCACAACCGGATCAAGCAGCACCAAACTAACAATCGGTCGAAATCCTGGCAGGTTCTCCATGTCGCTTATCTACATCCCCGAGACCTGATTGTTAGATGGGTGAGGCAACTGACGGATGCTGTCGTTACGCTCGAGTCTCTTCGCCTCATGGACGGTGGTATTCGACCGCCAAACATCTTTGTTGACAGCAATGAATCTGTTAAGCTTATCGACTTCGGTTTTACGGCGCCAACTGGAAATGACGACCCGGGCATACAGTCGTCTTACAGTAGGTTGCTTCGGCAAGAAGCAGAACCTGATCACTGGATCTGGGGGAGTTATACTCCACAAGCCGAAAAACGATTTGAGCTGGGTTCAATTTTCTACCTTTTGACCCGCGATTACGAACCCTACGAAAATGAATGGTTCGGCCGCGATCATGGACCGATCACTATAGAGCTTCTTCAGGCTGTGAGATTTCCTGCGCTGGACGGAAGGAATATTGATTCAATCATACGGGAATGCTGGAATGGAGAATATTCGTCTATGAAAGCATTGAAAATTGACACCTTGCAGCTCGCTCAAGATGAGCCTCTTCCTATTCCGCGCGTCGTGGACACGAGAGAGTATGAGGCAACGCAGAAGGAGTGCGAGCAGCGGGTCAAAGATGGGATCCTAGAGTCAACTGAATGGCAGACTCCTCGTCAATTCATGGGATATGATCGCGTTAGTAACACGCCATGTGAGGATAGTTAGAAGGTAGCAATGACAATACTTCTTGACGGTCTTCTCAATGAAGCTTGTTTTCAATTGCGTTGGGACTAAGCGAATCCGCCCGTCTGCTTCGGTGTCTTTGGTGTAATGCGATGAGCCGTTTGCGCTTCTTCGATACAATAGTAGAGTGCCTCTCGCGCCAGTGCCATTCTCCGTCCCTTGATCTTCCCGCTTATCTTATTTATCGCCATCTTTCCTATCGTTATGGCTTGATAGGAGCGTTGGAAGGAAGGTATAGCGACTTGACAAGCAAGCTTCATAGAATGTATCGACTATCGATTCTCACTCGCGTCACGGGGGCGTAAAGCGGCGGTCACCCTAGACCTGATAGGGGTTGAGGTCAGCCACGACTGAGTGGGAGCTAAGGTACACGGTACATCTCTTACTAAGGGCCCGTTTGGCTACCACATTTTCGACATGATCAGGTTAGATTTTCAACTTTTCTTTTCAGGTAGGGGTATCATAACGTGCCAAGAGAACCACAGATTACGCCCCGTAATCGCTTCAACGTTAAGCCCCCGAAACAAGAATTTATAACCACACATATTTAGAATATTTGAGAGCGTACGATCGAGAGAACTAAGTCTAATTATTATGATTATAAAAGAGCGCAAAATTCAAATCGCTTTTGAATATAAGAGTAGGAATTTATAGAAATTCGACCTCGGATATCGCTTTTCTTTAGTGTACATTTTGGCTCAAAACTTGCCTCAGGGCAAGTTTTAGAAATTAGCGTACATTTTCATATTTTTTGCCCTTAGGGCTGAAATTTCAGCTATCAGAATTTGATCTTGGCGCCAAGGTTGCATAATATTTCCATACACGTATTGAAGACGTAGGGCTGGTAATTGACTAAAGAAAATTATTTTGAAAATGTAGCTGTCAGGTTGGTAGCCAAACGGGCCCTTAGGGCTTGTGCTGCCGATTTTGAAAGCGCGTCTGAAGGAGCTGGACCTCTCTCCGCATTTCCAAGATTCAACATCCATCTATAATCACAACTTCTAGGCTCCAACGTTTTCTCTAACATGGCCTAGAGCTTCTCAGAATGATCAGTAAGATGCCACATCGTCGGGTATAATCAAAGTCTGACCGCCAACATGCTGGGGATTTATCCCCGACTCCTCAGCAGGCCACTGGCTTATAGCTATACTGCACGAGCTCTTGGGACGGTCGCGAATCCATATAAGCATGCCTTCATACGTCATGAGGTCCTACGAACATTTGGTAGTGAGAGGTACAAGTCCACCATAGCTGGGGACAACAGGTCAGGGCATATTGAGGCAGGAAAAAATGAGGGAATCTTCTTTATTGACAGTGAGTAGCCCAAAGGCTCTTGGCCTTCTGGCTCGAACACATACAGTGCTTGAGGTCATGGGTCTGGGCTTGCTCCCGCTGCTACTGTTCGAATGCCGGGGCTCTTCCCTCTGCGATCCACGCTAATACTTCGCAGATGTCTTCCCTCTCAAGCTCAACTTCATAATGTGGCTCCCGTTCATCGACGTTGAAAAACTCGTGCCACAACTCGCACACCCAGATCCAGCGGCAGATCCTGGAAAACTTGCTGAGCGCGCCCTACCGAGCAAGCTGAACATACGAGTGACAGAGGTCCTACCGCGCGTCGCAGAGGGTGGTGCGTTCATAAAGTTCTCCCATGCGCCGGAAGATGAAGTAAAAACAATAGAGAAGAGGGTCAAGAATTTTTTGAAGGACAAACCTATCAAGCCGTGGTTCAATCCTTTCCAGCGCGTGAGGACGTCTCTCGTCCAGGGCAGACCGTGGGTTGAGGATCTACATCGTTGGCCAAATACTAGAGTGAAGGTTGAATTTGTACCGACATTGCCCGGACAATCCGCTGAGGAACTATCTCAAGAGACTCTGTATTCGCTGTTCCGAAGATATGGTAAGCTAGCAGATATCAAACCTCAGCCTGCGGACTCGAAAGATCTTCCCAAGTACGCCTACGTCACCTTCAGCAAGGTCAGGCATGCGATTATGGCCAAGAATTGCATGCATGGATTTGTCGTGCCTGTTAGCGAGGGTGGAGGCAACCAGGGGACAATGCTGAAGATAGCCTACGATCAAAAACGAAAGGCGCACTGGATCTGGGATTGGCTCGTCAGTCACCCGAGGTTCGTCATTCCGGCTCTGCTCGCATTCGTTGGGACGGTCACTGTTGCCGTCTTTGACCCTATCCGAACATTCTTTATTAAGGCTCATGTTACGCGCACTTTCCATATCAAGGACAACAGGATTTACAAATGGCTCAGTTCTCAAGCATCCAGAGCTACTGACGTCCTGAGTCTGAGACGTCACCGGACCGAGGATGCAGGCTTGACTGCTATATGGGAGGATCGCAAGGACGACATCAATCAGATTCAGACTTGGCTCATGGAGAGCGCAGATACTTTTATCGTCATACAAGGACCCAGAGGCTCAGGCAAAAAAGAGCTCGTACTGGATCAGGCACTAAAGGGTCGCAAGAACACCTTACTCATTGACTGCAAGCCCATTCAGGAAGCCAAAGGCGACAGTAGCACTATCAGAGCGGCCGCTCTCGAAGTTGGATACAGGCCGGTCTTCTCGTGGACGAACAACATCAGCAGCTTGCTGGACCTAGCAGCGCAGGGTACCATTGGTACGAAGACCGGGTTCTCGGAGACCCTGGACGCACAGTTGGCGAAGATATGGCAGAATACGGCGAATGCGCTCAAGCAGATTGCGTTGGAAGGCCGTTCTAAGGACGATAAAGATTCCGATCTCGACGATGATGCCTATCTTGAAGCGCACCCTGAGAGACGACCCACAGTAGTTCTCGACAATTTCTTGCACAAATCCCAAGAGAACAGTGTCGTTTACGACAAGGTCTCAGAGTGGGCCGCAGGACTCACAACAGCGAATATTGCTCATGTGATATTCCTCACTAATGACGTGTCCTTTTCAAAGTCTCTAAGCAAAGCACTTCCGGATCGAGTCTTCCGTCAAATTGCTCTAGGGGACTGTTCTCCAGAAGTTGCCAAACGCTTCGTCATCAACCACTTGGATGCCGACGCTGATGAGGGTGGCGGCCCGGAAAAGAAACCAAAACCTTCGGAGATGCGCGAGGATCTAGCAGAAGTATGTTCACATCTGAGTGCTCATTGCCCAACACTTTACTGACAAGGTACGCAGCTTGATGACTGTATCTCAACCTTGGGAGGTCGCTTAACCGATCTCGAGTTTCTTGCAAGACGGATTAAGACTGGTGAAACGCCCAAAAGTAGGTGTCCCTCCGGTCGCATCCCGCAGTATGCTCATGCTTGCTCAATCCGCATGGCTACCATCCCGTTTGACAAGGCTAATACACCGCCTAGAAGCCGTTCGCGAGATCACAGATCAGTCTGCTTCGGAGATCCTAAAGATGTATATCTTGGACAGCAGCCCTCGTAAATGGACAGCTGAACAGGCTTGGCTCATTGTCACATCGCTTGCGTCTACGGAATGCCTACGCTACAATGAGCTTCTGCTGTCAGATGTTTTCAAGTCAGGAGGCGAAGCTACGCTTCAAGCTCTCGAACAGGCCGAAATGATCTCGATTGTGTCTTCGAATGGTCGGCCGACGAGCATAAAACCCGGCAAACCTGTGTACGCGGCGGCATTCAGACAGTTGACCGAAGATCATGTCCTCAAAGCAAGACTTGATTTGGCGATACTTACCGAAATGATCAAAGTTGAAACAGCAGGCATAGATAAGTATGAAGCTGAGCTCAACCTACTCGGCAACCTACCAGGGCAGCCGAAAGAAGTCCGGGGGAGGGTTAGGTGGTTGCTCGGAAAGTTATGGTAGGTTTTTCCTTCCTTGTTCCTTTGCTGGTCAGAAAACCCCGACTCATGCGCACACAGGACTGGACAGGAGAAGGTCGAGAAGTATGAAAGGGAGAGCGGTGGCCTCAAAAAAATACTACAGCAGGAGTTCTAACAGCAATTTGTCGCGAGGTGAGGTTTATCTGATGGGCGTTTAAGATACCACTCTGCACATTCTTCGGACGTACCGTCTCTTGGTTCACATCGGTTTTGTGTTTGTAGATCTATCCTTCCCCAGTACATATCACTTTGTATCACCAACCACAGGTCGCAAGATTCGTTGTGCATTTGTCTATCCTTGCACCTCTGTGTCCTCTTCTCGCTAGAGACTGTATACACCCGCGCCATCTTCTCCCCCTTGTAACTCTCACGTCTAGAATCCTGACCGTGTCTTCCACGCGTTCACAATTAAATCCCTAGTCCTACGCTTCTATCACGAGACCGTCATAGTAAATGTAGCGGAACCGGCCATCGTGTCTGGCGCTTTTAGGGGGGACCACGATAGAGCGAGGGGCTTTCAACGATGAGGAAGGACTCGGAAAGAGCGGGCGGCGAAGTGCTGCCGGTTTCTCGTCCGTGGCCGCTTTGGATGATGGATGTCTTCGTCTTCTCTCAGCGGTGGGATGTGGATGCCGTCAACGGGAGATGGGAGCCTACGGTACCCTTGTGGACAATGGTGTTCGCCTATTCTTGCAGTCGAAGCTCGGCTTCGCGAGGATGTGAACCCACAGCCCTCTGTCGCGTGTGGGGGGCCGGATGCGGTGGTCGGGGAGAAAATGACGTCGGGTACGATTTTCCGGCCGAAAGGCTCGAAATCTGGGGTCCTTGGCTTCGTCGGTCGTCGTTGTCAGGCGATAGGGATCCCACAAGTCACCAGGCCTCTGCTGCAGGATGAAGGGACGAAAGAAGGCTTAGCGCTTCAAAGGCGAGATGGGTTGCTCCAGTCTCGCCTCTGAGCAATGGCGGTGGTAGTACTCGTGTCCGGCAACACGAGGTCCATGGCCCAGCATATCGTCTTCCATTTGTCGTACTTCGGTGGGCCCGGACTCCGCTAAAACAATCACCGTAGTGGCCCGTATTTCCGGCTCGATAGAGCCGGAACGAGTACTTCGACTTACGGAATGCAACGGTTGGGACTGCTGACATGCTGGCACAGCGAGCATGGCTTGTTTCTCCATGCTTTGCTCTCTAAGGGGCAAGTTTCAAGGCGGGCTGAGTCGAAGGAAATGTCGGTACTCAGCGTGGTCCGAACACCGAATATGTCCGCATGACGGAGTATGGCATGAATCCTAACGGTCATTTTGTTTTTTGACCTCCAAGGGCCACAACCGTTTCAAGGTTTCGAGCCACGACACCCGATCTTAAAGACAGAAGCGATGGAGCTTCGGAAATATGAATAGGGGCTATCAAAGTTACTTCTACTTATGAAATACCCCTATATTCTTAATCATTAGGAAACTAGAAAATTAGCATTCGGGCTAGCACCCCCCTCTACCCAAAATCGTACTATAGACATGTTCATTATATTATCGCTTTCATTAATCTCCCTATATCTCGCTATCGCTAAATATAGCTACTAGTATATGAAATAAGCGGTCTCTTAATAGATTTAATGAGGAGGTTATTATAATCATTTTTAACGCTATTAAAGAGGGGGGAAAAAAAAAAAAAAATCCTTAAAAATTTAAAACAACAAAAAAACCCCCCCCCCTTTTCAAAAAAATAAAAAAAAAAAAAAAAAACCCTTTTTTTTTTTTTTTTTTTCCCCTTATTTTTTTTTTTTATAATTTTTTTATTTTTTTTTTTTTTTTATTTTTTTTTTTTAAAAAAAAAAAAAAAAAAAACTCGTTCTACTATCTCTAAACGATTTAATTTCTATAAATTTAATTTAATCGCTATTTAAGAGGTTAAATAGAAGGCGAAAAAAAAAGACTATAGAATAATCCTTAAAAGCGCTATTACTACGCTCTTATTCTTAGAAAATATTAAGACTATAAATAGTTTATATAACGATATTATTAAATAGAAGAATATTAATAATCTAGCGAGATAATAACTAGTTAAAAAAAAGAGAAAGAGAATTATTATAAGAATTATATATATCTATAATTTTAAAGAAGACTTCTCTAAATTAGAATTCTTTATTATAAAAGAGTCTCTCTCGAAGAAATAAAAGAAAACTAGTAAAACTATTAACGATAACTTTTTTTAGATAACTTCGCTATTATATTAAATAATTCTAAATTATTAAATTTAATAAAAAGAAGAAATAAAAGAAGAAGATTAAGATATTTAAGTTTAATAACGCTATTATTAAGTAAATACTATATATAAAAAAAGCGAAGAAATTAGAAAGAAAGCTTAGATTTAAAGATTATAAGATTATAAAGCTATAGCTATATTTAAAGTTTAACTATTAAGAAAGAATATATTATTATTAATAATTAGACGATCTTAATAATACTTATTATCTACTTAATAATAATTAAATTATTAAATAAAATAAGATTATAGCGAAGTAGAAATATAATATTAATATTAAAAATCTATCTATATAAATATAGAAGTAAATAAAATCTTAATAAAATCGTATTATAAAGATAAAGGCTATTAATAAAGAGATTAAGTTAACTAAGAAGAAAGTCTATATAATTATTAACTCTTCTATTTTTATTTCTACTATTACTTTAATACTAATTAATATATTACTTAATAGATTAAATATCTTACTCTTATCGATATAAGGCTTTTAATAATAGTAATATAATATATATTAATAGTAGTATAATTTGTATTAATAGTAGTAAGTTTAAGACTATTCGCTTTATTAGTTAATACTTTAATAGTTTTAATATTTTCTCTTATAGTAATACGCGTATATTTAGACTTAGTCTATTTAGTCTTATCTATCTAATCTAATTAAGCTATTATCTTATTTAAATATAATTAAATAATTACCCTCTAAAGCGTCTTAGTTATTAAGTAATCTAATTTAAATAAAGAGTAATATAGATAAACTATAAAGGGTTTATTTTATCTAATAAATTTAGAGAAATTTAAATAAGAAAGCGATCTTTATAAACGCTTTAAAAAAGATTAAAGTAGAGTTATATATATTAAAGTAAATATATTAAATATTATCTTCTAATTAAAAAGAGATAGAGATTTTAAGAGAAATAGCTATACGATTAAAGAATAAGATAAAGAACTTTATAAAGGTATTATGGCTTCGTGCTATTACCTCTACTACTAAGTTCGCTAATTATTAATTATATATTACTTTAAACGCTCTCGCCGTTATTATTCTATTAGAAAATAAGATTATTAATAAGAATAGTAATAAGAAGAGAAAGAAGAAGGAGGAGGAGGTCTAAATAGCTATATATCGAAGTTTAGAAAATAAGATTCGATAATCGATAATTAATATCGAGCTTATCGTCGTTACGTAAATCTCGAATATTTAATATATTTAAAATTAATTAATAATTATCTATTTAAATAATTTAAATAATATAAAATACGAGTTAAATATAGACTAAAATATAAAAAAAAATCTCGAGAAATAATTATATTTTAATATAAAAATGTTAGATATAAGAGTTTTTTCTTTATATTACGCTAAGATAAGACTTAAAACTCTATCTTTAAACTTTCTCGCTACTCGAATAATAATCTTTATCTTTCTTATATAACTTCTCTTCTTTTTCTTTATAATCGCTTATTAATATATTAATATATATAAAGTAGATTTTAATATAGATTTTTATACTATAAGTCTATATAGCTAGCTATCACGATTTTAATAATCTTACGATCTTACTTACTTATATTATAATCTAATTAAACTTAACGTATTAAGGCCTTTCGACCTTTCTATCTTACTATAAAGTCTATATTTATAATAATTCTATATAAATAGTATTCTCTTTATACTATAATATAGAGTTATTATATATATTATTAAATTTCTAATATAATATTATCTATCTTTCTTCTAAAGTAATAGCGATTTATTTACTAGTTATACTAAATATATAGTTAAAAAGAAAGTATATTATTAAGAAGTTAGTAGCTATAGCTAAAGGAGCTTACTATTTAAAAGATTATTTAAAAGAAAGTCTTTTACTTATATAAAGGCTAATTTGATTAAATTAAATAAGAATCTAAAAGAAATAGATATCTTTAGTATATTAAAAGAAATAGACTCTAGACTAAATCTTCTTTATATTTTTATTAACTTAATATTAGTAAATTTATTAACTCTAAATCTAGATAATATATAAAGTTAAATCGTTATAGATAAGTTATAAACACGTTATCGTCTAGAAGAACTCGAGAACTTCGATAAGAAGGTTTTAAATATTATTATATTATTCGCATAACGTAAGAGAAAGTATTCTATCTCTAGAAGATATATTATTAAATTTAATTTAGATTATATCGAAGTGTAACTTATAGATATTATTAAAGAAGAGTTTATTATAATCTTTATATCTATCGCTAATTTATAGAATTTTATAAAAAGCGCTATTAATACTTCTAATATTTAATATAATAAACTAAAAACTTTAATAGAGAGTTTTCGAACTACTAGCTATAATATTAAGGTATTTTAATAATAAAATAAATAACTTAGCTAGAATATCGCTTATATTAAGATAAAGATATTAATAATTATTATTTAGCTAAGTAATAGTAATAGCTAATTATTCTATAAGCGAGAAATTAATAATAGATTTCGAGGTTTACGTAATAGGTATCACATTAATATTACGAAATTTATTAAAGAAAATAAGAAATTTAAGTAAGACTTAAAGTGTAAAGAGTAATAATTAAAGAAGTAATAATCTTATATATTAGCTAATTTAAAAAACTTCGATAAGAAAGACGTAGAGATTATATCTATACTTCGTTAATCGAATATTTCTATTAATAGTATTTATTAAAACTTACGCTATATTTCTATTATAAATTATATAGAGAATATAGAATTAAATAAATAATATCTCGATATCTCGAATTTCTATAGTATTAATAATTGAATTAAGTGGAATAGTTAATATTAATATCTTAAAGCGAAATTTAAATAAAGCGCTATAATCTTTTCTATTAAAC